AACATTTACTATAATTTTTGAATATTTATACTTCTAGATATTTACTGGGGGTGGGGGACCCCAGATGTCCTAGGGCCCTAAGTTTCTGACTATGACACTTGTTAATGTTGCTTATAGACTGCAGGGGGCGGTGTTTCTCTGCTCTGCCTATTTACTTCAAAACATCTTTTTTTTTTACATTTGTGTGTGTGTGTGTGTGTGTGTGTGTGTGTCTTCTAAGAAGAAATGATCCTGTGTATGCCGACAGTAACAGCTGCCCTCAAGAATGTTATTTTTTCTTATATTTTTTTATTCAATTAGCCCCCCTCACGGTTTCTCCACACTGATCTTGTGTTGTATGCTTCCATTCAAACTGTAGGTTTTCAGTTCAAAAACCATTTGCAACCTCGACATAGGCTTTTGTGTTCAGAAGCCTCGTGGAAATTGCCTATTTTCCTTTTTTAAATGCACCTGCATTTTCATTCAATCTGGAGATCTTACAATAATTCTTGGACATTCAATCTCTGCCCCATTATTCCAGAAAAATAGGTTTTAAATTCCATTGGGGTTAAGGGGCAATTGTGTTTATCAGCTGATAATCTGAATGCAATTCTTGCCAGCTCTACTATAGAAAAATTTCAATATAAATAAAAGTCAAAGCCCTCTTTCGGCTTTTCAGCATCCTGTCATCTTTCCAGCTCTCCTTCTCTCTCTGGGCTTCTTCAAGGGTCTCTTCACACGCTCACCGCTCTCTTCTCGCTGTGCTGTTTAACCAGCCATGCCAACAGCTGCAAATTGAGGGTGTTATTTGGTGTTTGGAGCCGTCATATTGTTCAAAGAGCCACCACTTTTCTTCCTTTGTAAAACAATGACGGATGCACTGAGATGAATGAGAGGCAGAAAATATCAAGGGAGGATGTGGAAAGATGTGAAGAGTGGGTTAAGGTGTAATAAATGTTTTATACATTAGTATCTACAGTATTGTATTTTTTCAGTACAGTATATTTCGCTTGTTTGATCAACCAGAAAATATTCCTATCAAAATCTAATTTGACTTGCATAACTTCCATTATTTAAAAACAGTACAATGTTATTAATCTGAACCAATGCTAAGAGATTCATTCATAAATTCAGAATCTAATTTTATCCACAAAACAACAAACTGTAAAAAAAAATTCAACCTGAAAAAAGTTAAAATTACTTTTTTTTTGTTGTTGTTGCTTGTTTGGGAAAAAAAAAAAAAAATATATATATATATATATATATATATATATATATATATATATATATATATATAACGGGCAGAGAAAGACTTTTAATTTGAATTTTCAGCTCACATTTACCTGGTTCCCTCTACAAAAGAAAATGCTTAGAGCATGGACTGTTTGCATATGTGCCTCCCACTTGTTAAGGGTCCAAAAGTAATTGGACAGAATAATAAGCATAAATCAAACTTTCACTTTTTAATACTTGGTTGCAAATCCTTTGCAGTCAATTACAGCCTGAAGTTTGGAATGCGTAAACATCACCAGACGCTGGGTTTCATTCCTGGTGGTGCTCTGCCAGGCCTCTACAGCAACTGTCTTCAGTTCTTGCTTGTTCTTGGAGCATTTTCCCTTCAGTTTTGTCTTCAGCAAATAAAATGCATGCTCACTTGGATTCAGATCAGGGGATTGACATGGCCATTGCATAACATTCCACGGCTTTCCTTTCAAAAACTCTTTGGTTGCTTTTGCAGTTTGCTTTGGGTCATTCTTCATCTGCACTGTGAAGCATCGTCAAATGAGTTTTCTTGCTTAGTATGAGCAAGAATGTTCCAAACAGTTGTTTTGGCCATCCCTAATGTTTAAGCTCTCTGATGGGTTTGTTTGATTTTTTTCAGCCTAATGATGGCTTGCTTGACTGATAGTGACAGCTCTTTGGATCTCATCTTGAGTTGACAGTAACAGACTCCAAATGCAAAATTAAATCTGAAATGAACCTGGAATTAACTCTGAACCTTTTATCTGCTTATTGTAATTGGGATAATAAGGGGAATAACACACACCTGGCCATAGAACAGATTAAAAGCCAATTGTCCAATTACTTTTGGATCCTTAACAACTGGGAGGCACATATATGCAAACTGTTGCAATTCCTATAGAGTTTACCTGATTTGGATGTAAATACCCTCAAATTAAAGCTGACGGTCTGCAGTTAAAGCACATGACAAATCAAACGCTCAAACAATTAAAAAATAAGTCAAAATACATTCTCAAATGAGAAATCAAAAGTATTTTATATTTATTTTTTATGTCAAAATCCTGTAATAATTAAATGACAATTCAAATGCTCTAAATATAACTAAAAATGTATTAGAGGATCCAGTTTCTGGTATTGTGGTCTCCTGATTATACACACACAGCTGGAGCTCATAATGGACTGCTCACTAAGACTATAAGACATTTCATTCACACAGACTCTTTGCTGAGTCTTATTTTTCCCTGTGAAGCATTACAAAGCAATTTCTCTGCTTGTCCTGTCATGTTTTGATCCTTGTCTTGTTTACTGTTATTGTTGTTTTGTCTCCTGTCTTGTTTCTAATTATGTGTCTAATAAATTTTTTGTTAACATTAGTCTGTTTTATTTTTTCATTATTATTATTATTATTTTTACTTTTACTATGTTTATTTTTACTGATGTTTTATTTCTTAGTACCAGTTTCCAAAAGAGTTTTTTGTTCACTCAACTTAAGACATTTTAGGTCAGTGCAACTAACTAACATTTCATAAGTTGAGCAAACAAGAATTTAATTTTAAGAATAAAATAATTTTAGATCAGTGCAGCAGATGTATTTAAAAGTTGAGTCAACAAGAAAAATTAAAAAGAAATAAGGATTATTGAGGTTCTTGTTTATTGTAGTACTGGCTTATTTTTGTACAGAGCCGTTATTAATACAAGTACTATACACTAACTAGGGCTGCACAATATATTGTTCTGAGCATTGATATCGCAATGTGTGCATCCACAATGGTCACATCGCATATATATATATATATATATATATATATATATATGTATATATATATATATATATATATATATATATATATATATATAAAGGGAGAAAATAAAGATTGATTAAAAGATCAATCCAAATATTTGTTTTCAATTTTTGTTGCCGAATACAAATCCACTAGCCTGAAATCCATAAAGTACTGTTTCTTTCACTTTTATGTTTGCTCTATTGCATTTAGCTATACTTGTAATTTGTTTATTACATTCCGTTCATGATTTGTTTCCCTTAGGCACAGATGACCAAAGTAGGGCCCACAGGCCAAAGCTGGTCCATTGTAACTTTTGATTTGGCCCGCCATAGAGAGGTAATGATGAAGAGGGTTGGGGCAGTTGCATTTAACACAGAGATCGTCGTTTCTAATTTGACAATCTCTTTAGCAACAAAAAAGCAAACTGAAATTAAATGTTTCAATGAAACCGATTTTTAAAAAGTGTAAATACTGTCACATATAGAGCACTACGCAGAAGGCATTTACGAGAAATTAAGGCAAAAAACTGTGTAATTATAATATATCTAATAGATTGTTTTGTTTCTATTGTAATAAGTCCATTATAAAATGTAAAAAATACAATATAAGCTCATTTAAAAAAAGCTTTCTAGTCATTTTTAAACATTATTAAATAATAACTATATTTACCTTTGGCCCCCCAGCCTCAATCAAGTTTGGTTTTTGGCCCTTCATAAGATATAGTTTGGGCACCCCTGCCCTAAAGAATCATGCCAATCAAAAGAAAATTAATCAATTGTTTCCAAATAAAGGGGTTTAAATCATCTGGTGAAATTGTATGTATATTGCAGAAATACAAAGATATTGCAAAGATTATTATACAAATGTCAGATTTTTCCAGTATCATGCAGCCCTAATAACATTTATATTTAAAAAGAATACAACAACAATAAGAATAATAGTAATAGAAATAATAATTACAAATTCAATAAATAAATAAATGAAAAATAATAAAATAATAATAATAATAATAATAATAATAATAATAAAAATAGTTGTCCTTCATAGCAAGGCTGCATTTATTTAATCAAAATGATGTTCAGTTTCACACTATCCTTCATGGTAATATACCTAAATATAATCCAAGCTAATGCTAATGGTATCATTATATCTATGTTTTGTATTGAGAGATAATTTACATAGTTAATTAAGAACTAATGTTATGAGCCTCCATTATGAATATTACATGTTTAAGACGCAAACAGGTAAATTTATGGGCCTGAGAGTAAGCTAACCAATGGTGTGATTGTGGGCTGGCCCATCTATTTATTCAACCAATGGCGTATGGGGGAGGGTTCGGGGAAACTTGTTTGAAGTGCTTTTTTTACTCGGCTCCATTTAGAGGCTCTACTGGTGCTGAGGTTGCCTCAGGTCTTGTTTGATTCAGCACCATGGACAGCTGCCTTCAAATTACAGTTGCAGCTCACATACTGAATATGCTATTATAAAACTGAACCCTGCTCAGCCTGACCCTGAAACACACACTACTGCACAAAACTAAGATGCTTTACATGCAGAGAGAAGGCAAGAGAAGTGAAGATGTCTGGCTCGCAAAACATATTTGAATTTCACTTAATTACTTTATCAATTCACTCAAAAACAGCTTATCTATTTCACATTTTGCTCTGAAATCACAGATCAAGCTAATCTATTTGTACCATATAAATACTGTCAAAGCACGAGTGTACGATTTTGACAAGCACATTTCTCATTTAATTTTTCATTTGATATTTTCAATAAATTAAAACTAATTATTCCGTGAACTATTCATGTAACTCAGCGCTTTTTTATTTGGGTGAACGAGGAGAGAGTCCCATCAGCCTGTCTGGATATCTCCATGTTTAATGAAATGTGAATTGACAGAGAGAGAGAGAGAGAGAGAGAGAGAGAGAGAGAGAGAGAGAGAGAGAGAGAGAGAGAGAGAGAGAGAGAGAGAGAGAGAGAGAGAGCGCACAGCCCACTGGCTGAAAGGGAGGATGCAGCAGCATAGACAGAAAAGCAGGGCTGAGGATGGACGATAGAAAGATGAAGAGAGAGAAGAGAGATTCACAACACTCTCTCCACTGATCATATAGTAGGTGCTGGACTTTCATCCACATCTCACTGATGTCCGAGGAGAAATGCCTGTGCGGTATGACATGATGAGCTCCAGCATCTGACCGAACGAACTTCAGATTCTCTTCCAGTCTCAAGCTCATCGAGCGGCTCTTTCATTCTCCCAAGTTTTTTTCGCGGGATCTTTGCGGCATTTCCCGCCTTTAAATCAGCGTGAGCTGCAGCGCACGAACGGAGGCTGATGATGAATATGAAACACATCAGATCGGGCATATAATGGGCATCGAGGACACGGGCATGAGGAACGGACGGGCTCTGTCCGATCAGTGGGCCGACAGCGTGGTGGTCCGACCCCGGACTACCGAGCAGCACATCACGGTGCATAAGAGACTGGTGCTGGGCTTCGCCATCTCCATCCTCACCCTCATCATCGTCACTGCCATCGCCATCACGCTCAGCGTCAGCTTCGAGAGATGCGCCGCGGAGAGCAGCGGGGCTCTGGCCGCCAACGGCTCCAGCAACAGTAAGTGGAAACAGTCACGGGACGGGAACATCAGTCACAGAGACTCGGAGGACGGCCAGCAGCCCTGGAGACACCTGCGCTTACCGGCCACCCTGCGCCCGCGCCACTACGACCTCCGCCTGACCGTGCACATGGAGAACTTCAGCTTCTCCGGCGAGGTGAACATCGAGTTTGAGTGCGTCAACTCCACCAAGCTGATCGTGTTGCACTCGGACCGGCTGGAGCTAGACAAAGTGCTGGTGTTTTCGGACAGTAAAAAAGCGGGCGCCATGCGGATCCAGCGCCGCTTCCACTATCAGCCCAAACAGGTGTATGTGATCGCGCTGCACAGAGAGATGAAGCCCCTCAGAACATACAAGATCAACATCACCTTCACTGCGCACATCGAGCACGAGCTGCTGGGCTTCTTCCGCAGCTCCTACATGCTCAATGGAGAAAGAAGGTAAAGGCTGTTTACGGTGTCACTTTCAAAGCCTTTCATATGCTGATTAGGTGTCAACAGTTATCATGGGAACGACAGATGCTGATGCAAACCGCAAGTTACCTTAACTCACCTAACTTGGATCAATTAAGTGCTCAGTAATGCTTCATACAGCAATTTGTGTTTGTGTTTATTTTGAGGTTATATTAAAAGAATTCGTTATTAGAATTTATGGAATTCTTCACATGTTTTGCATAGAATAAGGCAAGTCAGGGTTTTGGCTGCTCAAGTAAAACAACAAAAACAACGTCAGTTATAAAATAAACAGTTTAAGATCTAGGTTATAGTTGAGCTGCATGCACTCCTCTAATACTACTGACTGCATGTGATTTTCCTATCTCTGTGACAGTAACTGTTCGTGATTATTCGTGGAGGTCAGAGTTCAGACAGATCTGAATGAACGCTAGTCAAACCTCCCTGTCACATCAGCTACATTTAAAAACTCCTTTACTGTAAAACATAGAGTGATACAAATTCTTATATTTACATCAGGGTAACCTTAAAGGAACTAATTAATTGTATATTAATGCATCTAGTGCTGGTGTTCAGTTAAACTAATTAACAAATTAAGCAAACAAACTGATTATTAGACAATTTTAATGTTTGTAAATCATCTGTTCACCTTTTGTATTCATATGTAACTCAGATAAGCATTTGATTAACAAAAGCACATTATATAATCTTAGAGTTTTACAGTTGTTTTGAGCCTCATATCTCTAGTTATTTCAGGTCAGCCGCACTGAATATCAGCTTCTTGCTCCTCTTTTCCGGCTTCTGACTCTTCGTCCTCTGAGGAAAACTGGCTGATATTTGAATCTTTGCCCCAGGTTTTCCTGTATTTGAGACATGTTTAAGCTTTGTTTTACCCTGAAGGGTTTGCTTTCATGGATACACTTCTGTCCATCTACTAGTTTCCTTTCTGCCTTTGCAGAAACTGCTGAAGCTTCAGTCTCCGCTGTAAACACAGCATGTTCCGGGTTCACAGAAAAGATTCTTCATCAAAAGCTTTTTTCCAGCGCAGGCTGAGGTCTTAATATTAAGAGCGTCTCTGAAATAAATTCAGCATGTTTATGTTGAGACAGCATCTCTCAGCTCCACAGGCTCTGAAGATCATCTAGTTTACTGTAATCGGCTCCTGCTGTCTGCTCATATTTCCTGAACACCATGAACTGCAGGATCTCGCAGGATTGAGAAAATACCTGTGTTTATGTAGTTAGACGTGGGCGCTGGAGCATCAATCCGACATCTGATGGTCTGGTTTATCCTGACTTTTACCTGAAAGGTTTTCTCACACATGAACAGGCAGAAAACATCTCCACCCAACTCAAACACCTCCACGTGCGTCACTGAAATGTTCTTTCAGTCTGACATGCCTGCAAATTCTTCTTCTGTGTGTCTGCTTGTCTGATTTCTCCTCACCCCCTGCCTGTGTCCTCACTGGGATTTTTAAATAGTGTACAGAAGTTTAAATGGTACTAGTGTCTACTGTATAGATAGTGGAGATGTAAACAGATGGGACATTATCATTATAGATTATTAGTGCATGAATGGCTGCTAATGAGAATGAAAAGCCGTCACAGAAAAGCAGGAGTGAACAGAACACTCTGCTGGTCAAGCTGTGAGTGGTGACAGCGAAATCAACCTGTGAGATTTGATGAAAGTTTTAAAGACTGCCTTAATTCAACAAGTGAAATTGTTCACTGACATCTCCCGTACATAATAGGTATGTGGTTTAGGTGAGTTCAAATGTAATCCAGAAATGGTTTTATATGCTCATAAATAACAATACAAATTAGTAGGATGAGAAACCTCACTTTGACCATATTTGAAAACATCATGATTATTAATGAGCTCTGCTTACTGCTTTTTACACGTGCAATATAATTATACTTTTGTCAAAAAATCTTTTTACAAATTGAGTAGATGCCTTGTTAAATTCTAGTGGTAGCGAGGTTTATTTTAGCTGCCGATTTTACACCACCAGAGTAACTTATTTTGCTGCTAAGATGTGGTATAAATGAAATATAGTCTATATTATACTTGACAAAATGGAACAACAGGGACAGATTTAGAATGTATTTAGTATTTATAAGCCCCAACGGACACTACCTAACAAAAGTCTTATCACCTTTCCACGTTTTAGGAACAACTAATAATAACTTGACTTCTAGTTGAACGTTTTGGTATCAAAAGTGGCTAATATGAAAGCCAATGGTCTGTAGATTACGACAAAACACAAAACTCTAGTCACTTCACAGAAATAAGAATAGTATAGTACAGAATATAGAATATAAAGTCATGGTGCAGTGGAAAAAGAATGAATATTGTGTATAACTCCCATGAGCTTGGAGGACTGCATCCCTACATCTCTGCAATGACTCAAACAACTTAATAATCATCAGGAAAGGCAAAGAAAGCATTCTTGCTGGACTCAAAGAGTTTATCAAGGTTCTTTGGATTCATCTTCAATGCCTCCTCCTTCATCTTGCCCCAGACATGCTCAATAATGTTTATTTCTGGTGACTGGGCTGGCCAATCCTGGAGCACCTTGACCTTCTTTGTTCCAGGAACTCTGATGTGGAGGCTGAAGTATGAGAAGGAGCACTGTCCTGCTGAAGAATTTGCTCTCACCTGTGGTTTGTAATGTAATGAGCTGCACAAATGTCTTGATACTGTTGATGTTGCCATCCACTCTGCAGATCTCTTGCAAGCCCCCATATTGAATGTAACCCCAAATCATGTTTTTTTTCTTCAACAAACTTGACTGATTTCTGTAAGAATCTCGGGTCCATGTGGGTTCCAATAGATCTTCTGCAGTATTTCTGATGATTGGGATGCAGTTCAACAGATGATTCATCTGAAAAATCTGTCACTTTTCCAAATGATCAACTAAAAATCAAGCTTTTATTTGTTGCTCTGACAACTGGGATCAATGACAAGACTTTTGTCAGGTAGTGTATATAAAATAATTAAAATAACTATAATAAACACTTAAAACTCAGCATTCTACATGTGTTTGTTGCCCCATTACAAACATATACAGCAAGTTTCACAATATATACGTTAAACTAACAAAAGTTACATTTAAACATATCTTTTGCCTTATAGGGGGGGTTCTGAATAAATGTATAATCCGTATATCCTGCATTTAGCGTTCTAATGTGCTGTGAAGAAATGGCTGGCCGAGAACTGCTCTTTAAAAGCCATGGCACAAGGGACGCCACATCTATTAGAATTCTATACATTCTTTACAGTTAAGGCTGGGCGATTAATCGAATGGTAGTCGAAACTTACATTCAGAACTTGATTTTTCAGACCGATTTTTTTACTTTTTCTACCGCGTATAAACTTAAGTGACCACGCTCTTTTAAAGATGACCGTGGGCAGGGACAAAGGGCCTAGGTTGAGCACCAAGCCAGTTGGAGCGAGTGTTTATAAGTGTCGAGTCCTGTGAAGGAGCTCCATACAGTATGGAGACTTTTGTGTTTAATGTATGGTTAAAGTTGTTGCACGTCTGCCGATCACCACCTCTGAACGAATGAGTTTTAGCTTCTTTTACACTAAGGCAGCATTCAGAAAAAACAAAACCCCCATGAGGAAACTTGACACAGAGAAACATAAATCCTGCTGAATGCTAGTGTTTTAGAAATGTTATTGCAAAGCACACAGTATAAATGCATGGCAACACACAAGGCATCCACTGTGGGTCATGACGATTACTTGATGGAGAAGTATAAATCAGCCTTTAAAGACCTATACCTCTTTAAAGATCCTATAGCGGATCCACTTTGCAGCCACATCTGATCACATCACCTTTCTTTGCACTACATTGACAATGATTGGCAACTGTGCCAGAGATACTTTGACACAGTATATTTTCCATTACATTAAAGTTTTTTTTAACATTAACATATTTATTTATGATGCAAGATGCAAAAATTGCACAGTTTAAAACATTATTTACAGGATAAGCAAGAGCTATTTTATTCAGAAGAGATACTGCTTATTTTCTACTTTTAAAATGAAATTTTAGGCAATGTGTGTTTTAATTTTTGTTGTTCAGCGTTGATGTTCTATAAATAATCATTGACAGTAGATAGTGTGTTTCCTTCATTCAAAAATCTCTCACTTGTATTATGTGGGGATATTTACTGTACAAAACTAGTCAGTGAACTATGAGAGGGAAAAAATAATCATTTACCATAATCGAGTCAAAATGTTCAATTAAATGAGATTTTGATTTTAGGCCAAATCGCCCAGCTCTACTTGCAGTCAAACCAATAATTCACACAAATTCACGCAACTAAATATATTTTGTCCTGTTAAATTCATATTTTTTCATTTTAGTAATGGATGCAGGGCATTATATAATGCATTCATGTAAGTAAAGGCATAACAATGTAAAGCAAAATGATGTACTCCAAAGTCCTAAAAACCAAAAAAGCTGAAAAGCAATTGCAACAAGTTTGAGAAACTACTGAAGTTAAGCAATGATGAATCTGGTTGACAGAAGAGACTATAGGCTGTCACTGAGGCTCAGGGTGAACCAATAAAGTATTGAGAGTCAAGTAAACATTGTCATACCAATTGTCTGAAAGCACTACATTACAAACTGCACCTTATTATCCTTCAAGGTTATCTGGCATTGTCAAGATGAAATTGTTCTGGCACAGATTAACTGTGAAGAATTGAGTTCCTGTCATATTTTATCTTTGTTTTATTTCTAAACTACATAAACTGTGAAAATGTGAGACATGTTGAAAGTATATATTTTTTATTTGGCTATATGATAGAATATTTTCTTGAATGTTTGTAGATCAGACACCTACTGTAACTTTGCTTCCAATGGCCTGAATGTGAATATTTATGGTGTGATATTTCACTTAAAAGACACCAATGCAACTACATGCAAGACCAGATTGACAGCTATTCCTGTCATTAAAAATGGCACATGTGTGTGTGTGTTTTAGATGTCACAATGCAGATATCCATTAAAAAACATGACTCCAGTCTAGCAATTCTGCTATGATTTATAATATGTCGACATCTGATGTAATTTAGCTGCTGCAGTGAAATAATTTTGTCCATCTTCACGCCAGGAAGCTCATTAGAGTAATAAAAATGCACATCGATGAGTCCAGCGATGGCAGTCTGAGCTCATTTGCATTCAGGAAAGTCATGTGACATCCAGTTTAATGAAGTTGAGGTGAAATGACTTTTCACCGCAGAATCTTAGAATAGTTCAATCACACATATAAATATTCCTGAGATTTCTTTCATCTCACCTTTCTTTCCTCTGCAGGTTTCTGGCGGTGACGCAGTTTTCTCCGACTCACGCTAGAAAGGCCTTCCCGTGTTTTGATGAGCCCATCTATAAAGCCACATTCAGAGTGAGTCTGAAACACGAGAGCTTGTATCAGTCGCTGTCCAACATGCCAGTGGAGGCCACCACATCTGATGAGGATGGATGGGTGACCAACCATTTCTCCATGACGCCCCGCATGTCCACGTATTACCTGGCCTGGGCCGTCTGTAACTTCACCTACAAAGAAGCAGTCGCAGACAATGGAGTCCTGGTGAGTAAGTTTAATTCTCCAAAACTCAGTTGGAAACAGCTGACTGAGATTTTATTTTTCCAGAATGCTTCTCTAAAAACTAGTGAGCAGCATTTTAAGGATTCACAAAAACTGCTTCTGATGATAAAAGTTCCAAAACGATTTACAATTCTCATTAGTTAACATTAAATGAATCAAATTGTATCAACTTCAAATTTATCAACAGTGATCAACAACAGTGTTCGGCTCGTTCCTTTAAAACTCTTAAAGTCAAGTACTATTTTGGGGTTTCACCTGGATTTAGCCTACCTAAAATAAAAATATTTACAAATCCACATGCAGAGGTGTAAATGTAAAAGTAAAAACCCTCCATAAAACACAGTTGAAACTGATTAAAATAATTGTATATGTAGTGTTATAATAAACTCCTCCATTAAAGGCGTTTTGTTTGCGAACTCAAATTTGAAAGTGTACCTTTTAGGTTCTGTGTGGTCTAGGTTGCTGTAATTTATTGTGTTAGTTCCTGCACTTGTCAGTAATCATAAGAAAAAAGATGTCTCTATTATAATCTATGCAAAAGTTATTCTATTCCAACTGATGAGAGAACAGAACCACTTATGGGGGTATTGGGCCAGTATGGACCTTTAAAATTTAAAGAATGCAGAAGAAGTTAGAAGTTTAGGATGTTAAAAGAGTAATTAGTTATAGTTACTAGTTACTTCTCACAAATAGTGTATGAGTTAGTAACTGGGTTACATAATTATAAAAGTAACTAATTACCTGGGAAAGTAACTATTGCATTACTTTAAAATAAAATTGAATGTGTCAAATGATTATGAAGCAAATATAAATCCTTGTACACTAATACACACTATTATAATGTTGTTGTTGGACAATGTGAGAGACAACCATCAAATTCAACATCATTATAGGTATTATCATTACTATAGTTGCACAATAAAACACGTTAGATGGTTTAGAACTTTAAGTATTTATTGCACGAGCTACAACTCACAAGATTTGTCAACAGGCACGTCTAAATATATAATAAACAGGTAGCAGAGCGCACATTATCACCTGCTTTCTTAACCACTATTTTTGTGGCAACATTTGAGGACTTGGGAGTGCTTCACTAGATTAGAATTACTAGTCACCGATGCAAAAAGACATTCTTGTCTTTCACCTCAATGAGGGAAAAGTAGTGCTTATATTTCCAGTTTGCAAAAGCTACATTTGAACTTGTGGGTAGCTATAGGATGATAAGCGTTTTTAAGGTATACCGCGGTTTGGAAAAGATAAGGTTTTAAAATCACCAAAAATGTATGCTATATTGTTCCTATAGTATATTTAATATTTTTTATTACCTTTTTTTTTGTTTTTTTAGGACAACAGTATCTCCAGCAGAAAATATATCCAAAAATGCCTTTTGAAATTGTAAAGAAATCTGTTCTTAAAACTACAGCAAAAGTCAATACTTCATTTAAGTTATTTAAAAAGTTTACTGTCCCAAATCATTTTAAATGTCCCTCAAAATAAAATATATTGTGTTCAAAAGAAGGAAAAAGTTTTTTACCCTGACATTTAAAAAGAATATATTTTCGAGCAGTAATCACAATATTGTCAAAGCATAAAACCGTGATATTTTATCCATATTTTTACCGTCAGAATCTTATACTGGCCCATGCCTACTTGTTGGATCTGCCATCGTTCTGACTCTTGGTCACTTGTGTTTTGTTTTTTCCGCACTACTTTGCCTCTGATTGGCAAACAATAGAAACTGACTTTATCTAAGTCAAGCATCATCACATTCTCAGTTACACCACGTTCACAGACAAACCAGTCAACATCCAGTGTTTATACAGGAACAGAGAATAAAATTCAATACCTTTAAGTCCTTTTTTAAGACTCTTTCCATACACATTAGGACCTCATCGGCAACATTTTAGCTTACAGTATATTTACTAAATACGGATTTTAAGCTAAAACATCATTGATATACTGAATTAAAATGCTAATCCAGCTGGTGGCGCCTATAGAACAGCAGAAATAAAAGTACTTCCCTGGCTACTGCAGTAAACAAAGCAGCATGATGTCAAATCTAGCAGGATTTTATTAATACACAACATCCCAATATTCAAAGATTAAATGTAGGCAATAGCATACTGATACAAAATGAAGTACCTTGTAAAACCACATTTAAGACTTTGTAATACTTTTTAAGAGATTTAAATGGATTTATCAACTTTTAAAACTTTTTAAGACACCGCAGACACCCTGTCATCACTGGTTGGTTATGTGTCCCGCCCTAGCCCCAAACACACACACATACCCCAGAAGGAGAGGTCCTATGGCTGAGAGAGCCGCTGCTTGCATGAAAACCACTTCAATGTTCTCACACACATATTATTGTCAGTAACAGTAATGGTATTGTAATGGGGTAAACAGAAATTAATTTAATTACTCGATACTGAAAAAAATATTGCCGCTTGTAACACAGTTTATTTATAGTGCTGTTATTCCTATCATTAATTAAAGAATCCTGCAAAAAAAATCAATCAATCAATCAATCAATCAATCAATCAATCAATCAATCAATCAATCAATCAATCAATCAATCAATCAATCAATCAATGTTTTCAACATAACAAATAATAAAACCGCTAATTAGCATATTACAATAATCTGTGAAGGACCATGTGACAATAATGCCTGAAGAAATGATGCTAAAATTCAGTTTTAGCCATCAGAAAATAACATTTTAATATTTATTAAACAAAAGGTTTTGGTAAGACTTTATTTGGATGGTCCCTATTGCACATTTTGTTAACTAAAAGTTGTAATTAGCATGTAGTTGCAATGCTTCTCATTTGAGTATTCATAGACTGCTGATACAGATCCTTCAACAGACATTAGTAACTTTGCAAGTACATATCAACTTACACTAACCCCAACCTAGCACTCTACTTATAATCTAATGAGAATTAGTTGGCATGTAGATACAATGTTACTTAAATTCAATAAAATGCATTAAATGTATACCAACAAAATGAAGTGATACACAGTTTTTAATGTAATATTCTTTAGTACTACTGTTTGACTTTATTTTTCATCAAAGAAATGCAGCCCTACAAAGACCTAAAAATCAACCAGTCCTCAAACCTAATATTACGCATATTGTTTATTTTTAAAGTAATATTACACTTAATAAATCTAAAAAGTGTTTGCAATCTAATTATAAATGCACTGCTTTAACAAGTATTTGTGTGGGCTGTGTATCTAATGTTCATTGGCCTTCTGAATCACTTTAGTGGCAATATGTTAATCAAAGTTTATTGTTTTCAATTGTAAATTGAATCTCATAGTATTGTTCATATACTGTGTTTGCAGTTTATGTCAGGTTTTCTAATCTGTGACCTTAGAAGGTAGAAGAAAGACAGCAAGTTTTGGAACAAGGCTCTTTATTATCTTGCTTACTGTCAGTATGCTTATATGAGGTATAAAGTTTTGTACATAAACTAATGCACAAACTACTGATCAAACATTTTTTAAAGGTTTTTTTATTATTATTTTTTAATTCTCCTTTGCTCACCAAGCCTGGGCTTATTTAATCAAAAGTACAGCAAAAACAGTACAATTTTGAAAAATTTTTACTATTTAAAATATATATTTTTGGAATATATAAAAAATGTAATTTAATTTAATCTTGTGATTTTAAAGCTTGAGATTTTTTGCATCATAACTTTAGCCGCATGGTTCTCCAGAAATCATTCTAATAATCTGATTGCTCCTCAGAAAACTATCATTATGTTGAAAACAGCTGAGTCGATTGTTTTTCCGGATTTCTTTGACAAACCTATATTTCAGATAAACAGCATTTATCTGAAATTAAATCTTCTGTGACATAGTAAATGTCTTTAACATCCCCTTTTGATCAAGTTTAAGCATACTTGCAGAACAAAAGTATTAATCCCCTCCCTTTATTTACTCCAAGCTTTTGAATGGTATAGTGCAGTGCTTCTCAACCACGTTCCTGTAGGATCACTAGCTCTGCTTGTTTTTCATGCCTCCTTAACCAAACACACCTGATTCAGATCATCAGCTCATAAGCAGAAAGACCTGTAATGGGTTTGACAGACAAAGGAGATATCCAAAGCATGCAGTGTTAGTGGGCCTCCAGAAACGTGGTTGAGAAACACTGGTATAGTGTATGTTACAAAAGATTTTTATTTCAAATAAATGCTGATATTTGGACTTTTCTAATCATCAAGAAACTTTGAAGAAAAATACTCAACTGCTAATAAATAATAATAATATTAATAATAATAATAACAATAATAATAATGATATTCGAAATGCAGTTTGAAATATATTTAAATAAATAAATAACAGTTACTTTAAATAGTAAAAATATTTACAAATTTAACTGTTTTTGCAGTGAGCAGAAGATAACCTTATTTATTATAACTTTTGACCGGTAGCAGATAGTCGATACATAATGGTTACACAATGATTATATAATGTAAATAGTCAGCTCTATTGATATTAGTCCAGTGGCTACAAATTCATATGCCTTAAAAAGGCTTAGAGTTACATGTGCAACTGGTGTCCACTTATATATGCTGATATCAAGAATTGGGTTCATGATAAACTCATCCATGTTTTAAATGTCATATGAGAACATTCTTGAGGTGAAGTTTAGACATTAAGAATAAGCTTCACTGTATTATTTTCATCACATGCACTTAAAGGTTTTATTTTGGGCACTGGATCTCAACAGTTTGCTACTGATCTCCTGATTACTCAGAGTCCTGTAGTCATATTAGACACTTCCTGACGGCTTCCTCAGAGTCTCCTGCTGTTTGCCCTTGCTCAGCCTCCTCCTCATATTAGTGTAATTAATCTCTCTCCTTCAGCATGACCGCGCTCTCCTTTCTATCAAATCATCTCTGCCATGCTGACTGTGCTCTGTGCTTCTATCTGGGGCATTTATGCCCACACCGTGGCTTGTAGCGGTTAGCCGA